AAGATAACCAGGGCATAGACACCCAGCACAAAAAGATCAATACCCTACCACTCATCTGGGAGATTCTTCATTAACTGCTTGATGTAAACCCAAGAAATTCCTTCTCCCTTGCCTTTGTGTTTAATCCGGTCTGTTACCTATTTTTCATCAACCCTGCAACCTTTCCCAACTCATTCTTGAAAGGCCGACTCTTGATATATTTGATGAAGACTCGATTCATTCTGATTCCTTCGCAGTGTAACAAGGTTGTATACTCCTTAATTGTAGGCACCATGTCTTCTTGGTTGAAAGTAAAGCAGTTGTACCCTGGGTTCCAAAATTGCACCAAACCTAGGATTAAAGGTTCGTCTACCTTGACATAGAGAAGGTGTATAATATCACCGTATCATTGGCAAAACTTATGTTTTCTGTCAATTTTCTAACTGTCCCAAATATTTCACAATTCTTGGGTATCATTCTGTTTAAGGCTATAGAAGCATAACCAGCCAGGTTTGACATATAGTTGTCCTGCAAACTATCCCCTTTTCCTTCTGAGTATTTTCTGACGATAACCGAACTTCTGCATTTTTAACCTCTTGCATTATAACCCCTTTGTCCATTAATGCATACTATTTGAGTTTTAACGAACACTTTTTCGGATCAACACCTCTTTAAATGATGCAAATGATAAGAATAAAGTGAAGAAAATGAAAGGAAATAAGTTAGTAAGACAAAAAAATCAAAATAATAATGGAAATAAAAATAAAATTCCTACCCCACATGATATTTACCCCACATGCTTTTATTATTACCCATACATAATCTCTATCTAGCATGTTGTTTTCTTGAACAAATCCTTACCGCATAAATTTATAATTCACATGCTTCGAACAGAAAATAAAGAAGGAAATAAATCAAGTATCCTAGGTTTTGAAATGGAGTTTTGGGTGGGCTCTAATTCCTTACAGCATCACAGTTTGGTTATAAAAAGGTACTTGAGTTCTCCTTGCTGGTACCCCCTTAGGCTTTCCAGACCCTTAGTCCTAAGCCCGTTACAAGCTCATGTGAACTGAGTTAAACTCGAGATGATATATTCCCTTATGTCTTTACGAAGAATAAATTCACATAAAGACATAAGATATATGAATCCCGAAGGTTACTTGCTAGGCCTATACGAAGAATAAATTCCCACGAAGGTGTTGCTATCACCTCCACTTTAAAAAGTTTTGGAGCTCAGGAATAGAGCATGAGGTTGAATTTTGAAAAAACTGAAATCATTGAAAAAACACCAGTACAACTATTTTTTCAAAAAATAAGAATCAAATATAAATAGTAAGGGTCTAAAGGATAAATTATAATTTATACTTACAATTTTCACTTAAGAAGACAACCAGAAATCAATTTTGGTTTGACTTAGTTACCAGTCCCCAATACAGTCACCAAGCTATCATAACCGTCCTTCGGGTGGGCCCGAAATCAGTTTTCGACTTGATTTTAATGTGTTAGAGCCGCCACCAGTCATTTAAAATTAGGTTGATCAGATACCTTATTTTACCATTTTACCTTATTTGCGTTTTACCAAAAATTAATCGGGTCTGGGGGTCGATTACAATCAAGAAAGAATTAGCACCCATGTCTTTTGGTGCCAATTTAATTTCCCAGTTGTCTTAATTGTGAAAATTAAAAGTTAAATTAAAATTTGAAATTTGATCCGAATTATTTACCTTTGATTCAATTAGAATTATCCTAAAAGGTAAAAAAATAAGGTTAAATAATAAAATAAGACAAGATAAAAGAAAAGAAAATTGCGAATAATTAATATTAGAGTTAGAAAAAAAAACAAAAAATTAAATAAATGAAAGAAATAAAAGAAAAGTTAAATTAAAAAGATTAAATTGGAAAGAATTAAAAATCAAGGATCAAATTTAAATTAATTGGAAGATGCAAGGAGAAAACTAAAAGTTAGCGGGGTTAATTGCATAAATATAAAAATATAAATATGGACCAAATTGAAATAATTCAAAATTCCAAGGCCAATTTACAACAGGTGACCAAAATGAATTACACTTCAAAGTAACAGGGACTGTAAAAATAATTTAGCTTTCTTATATTTAGACTCTGGTCCTGTAACACCCCAGATCGATACGGGTAACCCGATCCAATCTGGAGTGTCACATTAGGGTCACCGGAGCGACCCACCGTAAAAATAGCGAAAAATTTAAAACTTTTCTTAAAACTTGTAAACTCATAAATTCATTTGTTACTTTTAAAAAAATAAAACAGATTTTCAGATTCGTATATAAAACAAAATACAATTACATGCCCCCTAATCACATGTACCATACTCTGTAAGCAACACAGAAGAACTCCTTTACTGATGTTGATAACTGTACTGGTACAATTCTTTTAACCTGCAATGGTGAGTAATTGAGTGAGCTTTGGAAAGCTCAGTAATACATAACTATCAGATGATGTTGAAGAACGTGCAGATATAGATAAACGTATTTTTCCTTATTGGTTCATATATTTACCTGAGGTCCTATTGATATTTCAGGTAGTAATAGATAATATTCAGTTCAGATGGAAATATTTCGGATGTCTAGGTTTAGGAGATCAGAATAGGTTATCTAGTGTGTTCCCAAAAACCATGTAACTTTTCAGATCTTTTTAAAACATTATATATATATATATATACCCCCATCCCATCCCAACATAATGTGTAGGTTCCCCAGAACCATACACCCAACCCACACAACTTGTAAGGCCTTGAGCACAAAGCCAAGGAATCAAAACATTTTTCTGTCAGTAAACAGAGATATCAGAAATCAAAACAGAATTCAGAACAAATATCAGAACAGAATCCGGATCAGAAATCATAATAGAATTCAGGTTATGTATCAGAACATAATTCAAGTCGGAAATCAAATAAAATATTTATATGTTTAGGGAACACACCAGAGTTTACATATATTATTCAGAGGTACTGGATAATCTTATCAGGCAGAAGAAACAAGGATATTTCATATACCGATAAAATATCATAATTTAGAATCACTATTGGAAGAGTTCAATAACTGACAGAATCATCAGTTATTCAGAATATAATTTATTAGGATCATCTTATTCGGATAATTTTCGGAAGCTCTACGAAATCTGAAGGGTATTCAGAATCTTTACAATCTATGACGATTAATCCGATTATCGAACAACTCCAGATGAATAACTTGATTTATGGTTCATAATCCATTGGGATAATACATCACATAAGTTCATCCGAGTTTCCAAACTTATTCCAATCTCTTACTTAATCCTCAGTCCTTGAGGTTACTTGGTTCATTTAGCAATCAAGTCTATTCCAACTACTTCGAAATATTCCAGAGTAATTCCGGACATTTCTGAATTTCAGATACATATTGTAGTTCCTTTCAGTTCAGTTCGATCTTCATGGTTGATTTGTCAAACAATATAAAATTTTTAGTACTGAATGCGATCTAGAGTTGTTGGGCTGAATATTTCCAAAATTTATCATCAAGCCAAACTTGAGAAGATGAACATGCATTCAAGTAATATCTATGTTATTCAAGTATTGACATAACTTTAGGGTTGATCTACTCACTTAACTTGTGTTCAATTACTTTTAAAGGTAGTCCAACACCTATGCTTATTTGGATTCCTTAATTAATCTAAGACATTTACTTAGTTTAGGCTATAAGGTTATTTTGGTAATTTTGGTGTTCAGTTTTATTCCATTCATTTCAGAGCTCGAGGATATCCAATCATTCCTAAGCTTGGTGATATTCTTGGGTCATTTTCATTACAGGGGTATTCTGGTCATTCTACAGATCCAATATATTTCAATCATTTCCTTCTATCATGTCTTATTATTTAATTCCGATTTATCATCTATTTCAGTCCCTTCAAATAATTCTGATAAAAGAGCACCCCGATAAATTATTCTTCAGGTATTTACTCGTAACTCAGATATTTTCGGGTCAAGTGCCTTCTCAGATTTTTACCAACGGAATATCAAGAATTTTCTGCACTAAGTCAGGATCTTAACAATCAAATTCGTACTTAATCGAGTTAAGTACAAATCCTCAAAGTACTTTCTCATTCAGGGTCAACTCGAACTATTTTACCTCTTAGGGGCATTTTCGTAATTTCCTAACTAGATAATTTCGATATTAGCTCTTAATGAAAATAATTATAATTTAAAGATCCTATGGTCAATTGCTTTGCCGAACATTCTCTAATCTTGAAATTATTCCTTAACAAACTTCTAGCATCTTGCGTAAACCCTTTTTAGCATTAAAAACCAGTTATCCAAATTTTCCAAGCAAAACTAGCATTTCTTATGCACATATGTAATTATATCGGATCAATATGTCTTTTTAGAATTATTAACCAACTTTCAGGGACAATTCTTGTCATCATACAACATAAGGGTATTTTCATAATTTTACTCTATCAGAGTATTCTCATAATTTTCCATCCAAGTACCTTTAACATTTAACCTTTGATGATATAAAATATAAGTTACAAATCCAGGGCTAATTTCTTTATCACCAATCACAAACTTGTAATTTAATTATAACAATTCATCAATCTCTTATATTAGTCATTCGATCCGTATTCAGTTACAGAATTTCTACCACATTCATATCGAGTGTATAAATTATTCAAGTCCACAAAAGTGATCAACGTTATCTTATTCATGCATTTATCAATATCAACATGTTCCATAAAGCATAAAGAGATAATAAATTATTACCTCGATTTTTGAGCCATACAAATCGACCATATAAATTACATTCAAACGCCTTTGATCTTTAATTCAACTTCCAATATTTCCTCGGATCTATATCAACAGAAATTACATAAAAACGGAGTTTAATTTTGAAAACAGATCGAATTGGGTGATTAATCAGTGAAAAACAACTTACCGGGTTCGAATTTGGCGAAACGGACTTCGGAATCTGACTCAGGACGTCAACAAAATCTAAAATATTACTCTTGAATTCCAGTTCACCAACTTGATTTCTAGCTTCCAATCTTTTTCTAACGAACACGAATAATATATCGTACAAATACGACTTCAAATAATTTTCCTCGCCATAAAAAAATAACTTATTAAAATCTAAATAATAATTTGAGGACTCAATTGGTAAAATTGAAAACTAATGGTGCCATCACAATAGTTAATTACTTAAATTAGTGACTAAATTGATTTTGTAAAAACTATTATGTCATAACTATAATCACTTGGAAATAAGAGACAAGATAAAAATCTCACCAAACTTGGATGACACGCCTTGTGATTTACTCATTTTTCACTTTAATACAACCCCAAAATCACGTGCATTCCATTTCTCATTTCACGTTCATTTTTAATTTTTTTTTCTTTCTTCATGTTCTGCTCTGTAGGTGAAGCAAGAAAGCTTGTCAAACGATCGCCAGTACACCGCATCAACCGCCTATTTTGTCACCGTTCGAAACTTCATTTACATGTTCGAATCATCTTAGCCTCCTCATCCTAGATCTGACTTCCATTCATCGAGAAACCTTATGGATCATTGTAGATCTACCAAAAGGCATTTGGTTTTCTTAAAACAAAACATGTCAGTTTGCATCTGGCGACCTTCCGATGATTTTGAACTCGAGCTATGCTGTTCCTTATTACCGACCAAGGGCGGTACTAATGTTTAAAAGAAACCGCTAACTACCATTCTGACACACTGAATTTTGCCCTGTCAAAAACTAATGATTCACGATAAGAGAAGAAGGAAACATTAACGAGCCAAATATAGAAGATTCGAGTTTTACTAATCAAGCCACAGTTCAAGTGAAATCATCAACTACTATCTCTATGCAATAAATTTCAGACAAGCTAAAAGTTAATAATTCGAGAGAACAATTCCTCAGCAAAATTACCAAGCATAATATCTCTGGTTTAGTTTTTCCAAATCAAGCTATAGTCCAATCAAAACTATAAACTACTATGTCTATGATTTGGATCTCAACATTCCAAATTTTACTGATTTGAGTTAGGAGAAGGAAAGATTACCGAGCGAAAAATCCATGATTTCTCTTGCGCCTGATGATACTAGGTCAATATGCTCTCTTCAAGAAATAAAGCATTGGCTCACTTGATGAATCTCATGAATAAAAATCCAAAATATCTTATTCATATGTGGTTCCAATTATTTTGAATAGAAAAATGTTTTATTTTCAATCCCCCGATAGTCAATCATTCACTCACCCATTATCTTAAAATATATAAAACAAATAAATCAATCCATGTACTCAATCATTCACTTCCCCATTATCTTGAAATATATATATAAAAACAAATCAGAACTTTAGTAATAATTGCATACGAAAATTCTAGAATTATTTATCAATTTTTTGATTGAAATCGAATAATAAATATCTTAGCTTTATTAATCAAATAACATATTTATCCATGTAATAAACCACCTTACTTTCTTCCAAAATAGCCATTTAAAATTAATACTTTAAAATTCCTAAAATTTAGCCCATAAATTAGGGTGTTACATGTCCTCCACTATAAATACCAAAAAAAATTCATTCATATCATATTTCACCAAAAAAACAATCTTCTCTCCCAATTTTCTCAATTCCCACTTACCCAAAATAATTCGACCAATGGCCGACCACCTTCCTTGGTGGGATACCATCGCAGCTCCGCCCCTTCGCAGTGACCGGAAAAAATCAAACAAAACCAAAATACTCTCCCAGTTCGATAAACACGAAATCAAAGCCCATTCATCCTAAAAAGGACCCTATAAGCGTAGATCTAAGTTTAAAGCCTCAAAGTTTACATTTTCTGACGTGACCCATCGTCTTCTGATGGCCGCTTCTCTCATATGCTCCAACCGAAATTGATTCCTTTGTGTTTTTGTGATTTTTTTTGCCATTTTGCGAAATATTTGGCTGAGTTTTTTTACGTTTAAGTGGTTTTTTCTCGTTGTGGATGCCTTATTTTTTTGTCGTATATTGCTTTTGTTTCTTGGTGATTTTGTTGGTTGATCGGGTTTTCCTTCGTTGTTTTTCATTGATTGCTCGTATATTTGTTGTCATTCTTCTCGGTCGGGCTATTTTTTTGGCTATTTCGGGGATCGTTCTCCTCGTTCTTGATTTACTCGAGGTTGAGGATGTGCTTGACCGAATATTTTGAGATGGTTCAGTCCCGAGTTGCTTCAGTTTTTGTGTTTCAGGCATCGAAAATCTCGGATAATCTCGTCGGCGCAATGCTATCAGAGGCTCTTGGACTCATTTGACTATGTGGCGCCTTTCCTTACTGTAAAACCCTAACTTTGGCTTACTAGGCTTCCCAGGTCGGCTGGCTGGGTCAGCCCGCCTACCCGATTGGACTCCTTACTGGACCTTTGTTGGACTCCTTGAACCTGAACCCAATGAAAATAAATTAATAAATAAAATAATAATATAATAAAATAAATAACATATTAAATATATATATATATATCATAAAATATGTAACTAATATATATATATATATAATATAAATATAATAATATATACTAAATATATTATATATATAATATACACTATGTTATAATAATATATATATAATATAAATATATAATAATAGATATATATATAATAATAAATATATAAAACATATATAATGATATATAACTAATATAATATATGTATATAATATATAATAAATATATACCATATAATAATAATAATAATAGTATATATGTATATATATATATATATATATATATATATAATATATAATAATATATATAATATATATACTATATACCCCAAACGAAAATAGATGTCTACATACGGTAATCGAAGAAAATGTAGGCGGAGTTGGAGATGATTTCTCGACGGCAATGGTTTGGTTACACATGATGACGATGGTGATAAGAGGGAAGAAGAAGAAAGAAAGAATTCAAAAGCAAAATGTGTTTATTGTGTTGTGTTTCAGATGCTCTCACAAACTGAAAAAAGGAGCACTCTGTGAAAGAAGAAAGAGTTTATGCCTCAAAACTTTTCGTTTCCCTTTTTTTTTTTCCTGAATGGTTTCCTTAGTAATTAGTATAATCTTAAAAGTAGGGTCAATTAAATATTCAAGAAACGATCAAAGGGATTTCAATTGTTTTCTAACGTGGCAGTCATCTCATCCATATAAGCATTTAAGCCAATTGTGTTTCTTGTCACTCCTGCTAACGGCGATTAACATTTAGTGGTCTTTTTGTAATTAATCACTAATGTTAGTGATTGATTTATTATTTTTGAAACTTCAGTGGATAAAATAAAAGTTAACTCAAACATTAGTGACCGGCTGTTTAGTTTACCCTTTTATTTATAAAGACTTAAAAGAAAACCCAAAATCTGGAGTTAATGTGTTTGATTAATATAATTATTTTGAAAAGAAATAATATTATGCCCATGATTGTAGGTGAAAAACATAATGGGTTTGGTGAGCCTGAGCCGCCAACAGATTTTACGTATTACGACTGCCTCATCACTTTATTCGTCTTTTTCCAGTGCAAAATGAGTTAGATCCATTGTAATAAGAAAATGATTCCATGTTTAAAATAATTCTAATTTCATGCCAAAACTCCAAATTTAGATCCTTTAATATTTTTTATTCGTTAAAGCAATTATAAATTTGGATGAAGTCAACATAACAGATGTTTTTGGGGATAATTGTTTTGTTAATTTAACCATCATGAGTTGACAATTTGACACGTGGTTAAAGAAGAAATATATCAAAGCAATCTTAGTCAACAATACGTCAATAAACTCAATTCGTTAAAGAAGAAATACATATGCTCAAATTTGATCAAAGGAAAAAAAAATGTAATGATCAGAGCATAAGAAGGGGCGGAAATAGAAAAAACAATTTAGGTGTCAAATGTAAAAAGTTATATGAAGAATTATTATAAGTGAAAAAATTGAATTTTAAAATTTTTATTATTAAATATTTTTAAAATATGTCGTCAAAATCTTTTTAAATGGGATGTCAAAATCTTTCTAGAATGGTGTCATTTTTTAAAATATTATACATATAATTTATATGGGAAAAAAGGTTTAGAAACTCTTCGATGTCAATTGTCACCCCTAAAATATATGTTGGCTCCGATAGTGAGCATAAGAAGAGTTGTAAATGAGATAAGATAGATTGTGAGTTACTCACAATCGACTCGATTAAAATTCGATAAATACTCGAGTTGAATAGACTCGACTTGAATTCTTAACAAGCCGAAACTAGCTACTTGATACTCGACTCGAAAAGCTCACGAGCAACTCAAAAATATATAATATATTAATATTTTATTTTTTAAAAAATAAAATATTAATAATCTAGACATTTATGTGTTGAGTTTTTAATGCAGTATAAGATTTTTCATGTATTTAAGGTTCATATTCGAGTTTGAGTTTGAGGCTTCAATCGAGTTAAGTTTAAGATTTTTTTCATTTTGAGCTTTTTCGAGTTTTAATTCATGATTTCGAGTTCGATTCGAGTTTGAAAATTTTAGGCTAACGAGTTTTCGAACTGAGTCAAGCTTCATTTCAGAGTTTTTGAGTCGAGCGTTTACACTAGACCTGTCAAACTTGACTCGAACCCGATTACCCAAACCAATTTACCTGACCCAGTACCTGATATTAACTCGAACATGATCATCAAATTTGATCTGATACCCAACTCAAACCATATCCGATCCAAAATTTAGCGAAACTGAAATCAACCAGAACTAAAAGCAACCTGAATTAAATTTTAACCGGAACCAAATTTAACCCGACATGAAAGCAACCTGGACATATTGAAATTGATCAAAGTTATTAAACGATAAAAGTTATTTTCAATAATAAATTAATTTAAATGAAATTGATAATTTATTAAAAATATTAGATTTATAATAAAATAATAGAAAATTTAAAAGGAATATAAAAATAAGAATCTAGTTGTAAGAATGAAAACAGTAATAAATAAAATTTACTTATCTTACTTATTATATAAATATTAGATTTATAATAAAAATAATATAAAACAACTAAAACAAAGGAAATGATATTATATTTATAATAAAAATAATATAAAGTTTATTTATGTTACGACGAAAACTTACAAATAAAGTTATATATTATTTTTTAAAATTTAACAAAAATATTAAATTTATAATTGGAAATAAAAAATAATAATAAAAAATTTATTTTTTTATCAAATATTTCTCATTATAAGTTTTTCATACGAGATCAATATAAAAGTTTGATAACAAATTCTAACACATATTATGGATCGTATTTGTGTCAAATTATTGATTTATCATCTCTAAATGATGGTTTAGTTCAAAATATTGAATGATTAAGAATTGAAATTAAACTTAAATGATAAAATTAACAAATAAGAAGACATATTTTTTACAAGTATATATCAATTATTTTATATATACTTGATTTTGATTAAACTCGTAACCAATTCAACCCGAATTAACCTGATCTAAAGGTTGACCTAAACTGAAAATCAACCGATTCGATATTGACCGACCTAATATTGGCCCAAAAATCAACTGATCCAATATTGATATAAACCGGAAAACAATCGATCCAATAATCACCTGACCCGATACCGACCCAATCTGATCTGATCCGATTCACCGTACACCCAAACTAGACCCGAGCCAAATCCAATCCGATCCAAACAACATTAAACATAATTTAATCTAAACCCAAAATTACCCAATTCGAAATGACCCGACCCAAAACCAATCCAAATGACCCGTTTGCGACCTCTAGTTTACACCCATGTATAAGCATTGTCCAAGTCCAACCAATATGTATATCGGATCTCTCATTTCCGTATTAAGAATGGAATACTTGCAATGGTGAACCTATAAATATTTTTAGGGATTAAAATTAACAACATAAAATTTATTAAGGATAAATAATTTAATAGAAATTTTTTAATTTTTAAACGCGGTTCCGCCTCCCATGTGTGGAAGGAAGAGTAAAATTTCCTAATACAATTTTTACTTATTTTTTTATTAAGATCCTAATAAAGTATTTATTTGTTGAGTAAAGTATACAAATAGTTTCTCGATTGTAGAGTATTATTTTGTTGATTCTTCAAATTTTAAAAAGTTACAAAATGGTCCTTTAATTATAGGTCAATGTTTTGTTCAGCCGCTCTA